CAGGTCTGGTGTTCAGGAAGGTGTCACCGACAGGCCATTTCAAGCTGAGATGATGGCGGTGTATCTGGAGAACAAGAGTTAAAGTGATTTGATCTGAAGACAATGTGGATAACAGCAGCAGAAGAGTGACGGTTTTATGTATGAGCCTAGGGCTGGACGAAATGGCCAAAATTTATATCTCGATATATCTCTTCATTTTGGTCGATATGATATCATTTAGATATAAACAATATTTTAACAGCCCAAACTGCCAAGAACGTCCACAGGGGATGTCTGTACCTACAAATAGACTTGATAGACCTACAAATAGACCATAGACGTCTATGAAACCTCGTCCTATTAAACTATATAATATTTTACAAATAAAAATGGTACAGATAAATTAATGTTCACTTTTTATTTATATTTAGCCTTCATACAAACAAGAAGTGTGAAATCACTGTCAAATAAACAAGGCTCTCAGACTCACCTTAATGATATTAATATCTTTAACTTTAAACTATAACGTAGGCTGATTATTCTTATAGATTGAAACAAAAGTGCTTCAGCCAGGATAATGAATATGAAAAGGAGCTCAGAGTTGCTGCAGAAAACAGAAAAAAAATGAGTGAGCAACAACAACAAACTTTTCTGGAGATGGGCTTACTGGAAATCCAAACTGCCAGCAGGAGGCGCTTTTGGAGCGGTGGAAACAGCGGTTTCCCCGGTAACTGCTGTAAGCAATGAACCCTGCTTTATCAGATCAATTTAAAATGCCATCGTTTCTGACGACACTCGGTTGCCTTCAAAGATACATTTATATAAAACACCATTGCCTCATTTTGATTTTGAAACGTGAAGTGTTCATGTTTATTCAACGAAGTTGTGAAATAAATCAATGTATGGGAAATACTGTTTCAAAATCATATCACAGTTACTGAAAAAAAAATTATATTGCAATATATATTGATATAAAATTATTGACCAGCCCTACATGAAACCTTATTTACCTTGACCAGTGTCCCATCATCACAGTGCCACACGATTCCCTCCACTCGCCCCTCCTGGCATTCCTGAAACCAGGAATACAGCTGCTGGAATTCCACTGGAGGAGGCTTCCGGATGCGCAGGACCCCATGGGGCACCAGGACATGGACTGGATGCTTCTTACTTCCCAACCCTAAAGAATCACACAGTCAGCCACGGCCTAAACCAACAGAACTCCACTCAGTTTCTTACTTTCTTAACAGTTAAACTAGCATTCAAAAGAGTAAATGAGAGTAAAAACTTTAACAATGTTACAAATTATTTCTATTTCAAATAAATGCTGTATTTTTTAAACTTTCTATTCAAAGAATCCAGAAGAAAAAAAATGTCATTGTTTCATTAGAATGGTTTCTGAAGGATCATGTGACACTGAAGACTGGAGTAATGATCCTGAAAATTCAGCTTTTAATAAATTACATTTTAAAATATATTAAAGTAGAAAACCTTATTTTAAATTGTAATAATATTTCACAATATTACTGTTTTTACTGCATTTTTAATCAAATAAATGCAGCCTCGGTGAGCAAAAGAGACTTAAAAAATATATATATATTCACCATATGGATTTCCATTAACGTTGGTTCCAATAAGCTCAAGGGTTTGCTCCATGAGGTCTGCCAGAGGAACGCTGACAATTTCAAGCAATCCCTCATCCTCTCCATGTGTCTTCAGGACAAGGGCGACACCAGCATCATAGTTGACCACAGAGGCGTGCCAGCAGTACTGCTTGTTGGTATGATCAACCGGAACCCAACCTTCATGATATATCATCTAAGCCATTATTTTCACTCAGTACAGTATAACTTGTGACAGGTGTAATGGTCACAAGACTCTAACCCACCCGGTATGTGTCCATGTTCGTCCGGCACTGGATGGCCGTTCTCATGCTGGACTCTGTGAGCAGCGATCCAGGATTCTGGCGCTTCACGGAAATCTTCGTCTACGATCCACACAAATCCTGTTATTTAGCAGAGAATTAAAAAATATCTGATGTTTACAACTTTTATTTTCATTCACTGCTTTGTGAAGGTTTCTTGTTAGCCCATGTTAAACATGTTAGAATGGTCATTATAATATTTATGTAAGTTCAATCATACGAAAATAATAATACAAAAAAAAAATCTAAATTAAAAAGTATTTGGACCAAAATACCTTTACAGGTCTTCTGCGAATACTGATACTTTTTGAATCTCTTGTCCGCCTGCTTGGTGGGTTTCCGATCCAAGCGAGCCCAGAGATACGGTTCCCCTTCCAAAAAAAAAAAAGTAATATTAATAAAAACCCTCATTTTGGATATGGAAATCACTATT